TCAGTAATGTCATCATCAAAGTGATCTGCAGGAATGTAGCAACCAATTTCATATATATGTTGTACAGAAGGTAGCACAGAAAGAAGGAGTGAATATAGAGTTTCATGAGTTGTGATTGCATTTTCATATTTTTCAGTTGTAGAGTTCCCATCACTGCTTTTCCTGTCCTGAAGACCAGGTGCACAGTAACCATAAAAACTTTTAGAGGCATTGAGCTGATCAACAAAAGTTGCAATCTATAAATCATAAAATTTAACTATAAAAATAGACTACTGAATTGTCTTACTTTCTTGAACACAGTATTGATTATAATTTTCAAATTTGGAGGCTTGGTTTCACTTATGCTACTGCAGAGTGTATTGTAGGAAAAAAAGAACTTCTCAAACCGACTTAAAAATGCTTGTGGAGTATTCTTGAGCTCTGACTTTTTAACCACAACAATGCACTGAAATTGTGCTTGAACACGGCAAGGTTTAGTGTGAGCCCCAATTGAAATATTAGTGAACAACTTAATTCCTTTTTGTGGATCATGTATGATACGAAAACGTTGATTAAATAGTTCATAGAAACTCTCATGTATCTGATCAGTTTGAAACATAATAATAGTATCACCATTCTCAGCTGAATGAATGATTTCTGCTATTGTGTTAACCTACATGGAGAAATCAGTTTTTAAAAAGATGTTGTCTGAAATATAATTTATCTTACATGCATGCCACTTTCTTCCAAAAACTCGCTGCAGGCAACCATTTGTGTTTTTTGTCTGTCCAGTATATTGCAAGAGAACAAATATCTTACAGCAGAATCATCTTCACTGCTATCTATAATCAGCTTGTAACGAACATTGTTTTCAGTATAATTAGCTAGATCTAGATCTATATCCAGTTCATTTTCCTCCAGCTTTTTACTTTCCATAATACGAGGCAGATCGCAAAGGCTTTCATTGACCATTTCAAGTACATTTCTGTGTTTCATTTGACAATATGAAACTCCCATCTATAATTACATGAAAGTGTAAGTTCAGTATAAAGACCTTTTCACACTGGCCAAAGTAATGCGCATTAATCATGTTCACACTAGAGTGGTTACAAATTAATGCGCATCACTCCCACTTCACGTCCAGAGGTGGATTGAT